TATCATCATCATCATGAGTTTTTCAGCAGCAAAACCAACAAAAGAACCGCCGCAAAAGGTTGGAAAGGTTGAAACATTCCTGAATTCCACGCTTCGCAGCATTGGAAAATATTTTCGTTTTTTCATTCTTTTTGGAAAACAGAAAGCAGCAATCGACAGCAGACAAGCCGGCCCATTGATACGATTGCCTTTCATAGTTGACAGAGGCTTTGGTCCGTACTACCTTCTCCCAGGAATGTATGCACTCGTTTACTACTGTGAGTCATGAATTTGCAAACCAAGTTTTCAATCTAAAATTTTCATTTAAATGGAACGATAATTTTGTTTCAAATTATTATTTCACGAGATATTGTGATTTTCAGCCCCCAAAAAAATGGGGCACAGGACTTGAACAGGGATAAGTTTTCTTGTAAATTCAAAGCAAAAAAAAAACCCAAGATAGAGAATTTTACTCAGGGGTGCATAGTATTCAAGTAAATACAATATTTCAACAGTTGAGATATACTGTATACATATTTTTAAACAACTAAAACTGCAGCCAGATTTTTTGAATTCCTTGAATTATTTCACCTTGTGAAAATTTAGGAAAAATTATGGGACATGTTCAAAAAAAATATTGCTTTTCCTTTTCACTCTTCTTGAACTATGGACAGACTTGAACCAAAAATGTCATGGTGAACATTTAATATGGCTCAAAAACCTCTTTGTCACGTCCAGTAATTTCTTCATCTCATGTTTCCATATTCATCATGTTCATTTAGAATTAATCAAGGTAATAAAGGAGGTGATTGAGAAGCATTGGTTTAAAAAGGGGGTCACACAAGAACTTGTGATGATGAGCCTTGAAATATTGTATGAAAGTGACTTGCAAAATTATTTTAGCAGACCTCAGTTTCCTAGTGTGCCATTTGCTCAAGATATGCACAGATAAGGTTTGTTTGAGACATATTTTGATTCATCATATTCATCAAAAACTAATTGATTTAATAAAGGGGGTACAGTTAAATCTCATTACAGTAAATACTGTTACAACAAGGTTTTCAGTACAACACACTTTTTCATAAGTCCTGGCAGAAATCGTATAGGGTGCATGTAATAAAAATCTTGTTACAGTATAACAAATTCACAAATTTCATTTTAATAAACTTTTCAGAGGAACACATTGTAATTTCTTAATGAAAAATCCCTAATGAAGGCAGGCAAAGTCTCAAATTTCACATCCAAAATGCAACTGCGAACTGATTCTTGGGACATGAGGTGGAATAAAAGATAAAAACTTTTAAAAATACACCTGAATAATTTCTCTTTCAACAATTTCCTCCAGGGTTATGAAAAAACAAACCCAACCAACTCATGTTAAAAAGGCTTTGAATAATTGAGAAACCCTGTACTGATGCTTGAAAATTGTAAGCTTTTTTGGAACATCCACCCTTGAATATCTGTATAGGAAATGCTTAGAAAAACTTGAAGTCAACCAAAGTGCTACTTTTGACCACTTATTCAGAGTAAATACTTGTTATCAACATTTAAATTTCTTTTTGAAGATCACGGTTTTTTTTTTTTAATTCTGAAAACATCTTAGAAGGTCACAATTCCCAAAAGGAAGATGTTGCATGTATGCAGGTTTGATTTTCAGAAAGTCTTACCATCATTCAAAAATCTCATCATAACAAATTATTTGTTATAACAAAGTTTTTCTGAAAGTCCCAATGAGTTAGTTGTAACAAGATTTCACTGTAATAGAAAAAGCAATGGCTTTAAAAAAAGGGGGCCACACAACAAACTTCTGACAATGACCCTTCAAATATTGAATGAAAGCGACTTGCAAAATTATTTTAGCAGACCGCAGTTTCCTGATTACGCCATTTGCTCAAGATACGCACAGATACAATTCAATCATTGAAATACACAAGATTGCCTTTTCCTCTTTTTTCCAGTTCTACCGGCATTCTTGGCAGTCACCCTGGGCTACTTGTTCCCCTTCTACGAGTACATGAAAGTCGGCACCACGTACTACAACCCCGGCCTCATCTGGGACAAAGAATTCAGCGAATACACAACCTGGTACTTCAAGCAGAAAATCTACAAGAAAAAGTACTGGAACCTTGACGCCTACCTCTACACCTACTACCAGTCCCACAATGACAATCTGCGGAACCTGTACGAGAAGAAAAACGTGCCCAAAGAAGAAGAGCAACACGAGTACCCTCAGGCAGAGGGATACGGCGACAAAACAATCGACCAAGTACTCGAGGAAGTCATGCAAGACATCGTGGACACGAATCCGTACTTGAAGAAGTTCGTACAGCACATGACTGAAGGCGAGGGTTACAAGACTCTCGAGAAGATCGTGACGGACGTTATGCAGAAGGAATTCAGCCCTAGTGAGTATATAGAATAGACCCACGGAAATACAATAGAATCTCGTTACAACAAACTCCCAGGGACCATGAAAAAAATTCCTTATATCGAGATTTATGTAATTATTTGCATAAACAACACTTTACTTGAAATTGTCAGTGATTTTACACTGTGCAATTTTCTTTGCCACAGAATTCACTGAGACATTTCCCACTTGCTTTAGGAACTTGAAAACATGATCATTTTGCTAAGATTTTTGAAAAAAATTAATGAATTTAACAATTTAATTTAAAACTCAACACAGAAGAGCATTGGAATGAAATTCATCAATTTTGGTGGCTCTTTGAGTTCCAAATGCAAGTTTGCACTACACTTCCAGACTCCTCAGACAATAGATCAATTATTCAGGGTACATTTATTTCATGAGCTTCCTGCTGCCCATTAATGTAACCAATTTGTAGCTTCCGGTTTTTTATAACTCTGAGACATTTCCTGTCCACCATATACTGATGAGCCCCAGGAAACAGGTCATTGTACAAACATTCAGGAAAAAAAAAATTCAAAAATCAGAGCAAAATTTGGAAAAATTATAGGAACATCCTAAAAAAAGGTGACAAAAATTCGTTGTAACCAGAGAGCCTGTAAAATATTAATTTGTTAAAACGAGATTAATTTAAACTACACCTTAAGGGTAACTGCCAGGACTTGAAAAAAAAAAAATCGTTTTAGGCAAAAATTTGTTATATATCGAGATTCGTTGTAACAAGATTCTACTGTAATTTACACCCCGGCATAACTTTCTCCCCCTTTTTTTCCCAGAACCCGCAGATGAAGAAAAGAAGGAATCTTGAGAGAAAAGCAGAGACGGAGAAGCACAAGAAAGACGCCTCTAATTCAGAACACACACGTCACCCTGAGGCCTTTCAAGCCAAACAAAAAAAAGCATAATATTCCCGCTAAAAAAAATGATCGAAATAAATTTTCTATAAAATTAGCGACGAAACGTTTTCAACTGGAAAGGTGCCGTAGTTAAAGATTAAACACGTTATTCATACACGGAAAACCATGAACAGAGCATAAAGCAAAAATTCCCTCCCAATTCCTTTTCAGTGAACATCACAATGCAATACAATGCGGCAAATTGAACCAAAAGCTACTTGAACCATCTCAGATTTAACTGCAAACCCTGCTGTTTTCTGAAGCACCAACATTTTCTCTTCCAACCATCACAAGATAAAAAAAAGACAGGAGACAATCGAAACGTTTTCCTAACCAGTTCCACAGTTTCCGCAGATTTTCTTCGAGCACGATTTCTTACCCTCAAACCCCTCGAAGTCGGATCGAATATTCAGTCAAATACGCGACACGGAATGTGGATTTCAGGGGATCTTCGATTCGTCCTGCATTTTACGACGCGCCAGTGAAGATAATCGCCCACAAATACCTGCATCATAAAACCAAGGATGATTGAAAAATACAAAGTAATGTAGTTTTGAGAGGGCGACAGGACAGCTGAATATTGCAGGACTTTTCAATGCAAGAACTTGGTCAGGCGGCAATCGAAAGTTTCCAAGCAGAAAAGCATACGAGTGGTGAATTTAATTCAACGAAAAAAAAAAACGTTCATTGAAGACATGAAGCAAAAATGTTGAAATATTGAAGGCCGCAGAAACCCACAAAAACCAGAAATACGCATGCAACGCTTTACTTGTATGCTGCATGGGAACCTTGCAGAAATTACAGTTTAATACATTGTTCTACAACTTTTTGGGCTTGCAGATTGGCAAATTTCCAGAAAATTGTTTACGGACCAGCAAAGTTCCAAAAAAAGTTTGCAGACCAGCAGACATTTTTAAATTCCTGCCAGAAAGTCCTCGAACCAGGACTTTTCCTGCAAAAATCAAATTAAAAACCAATGAAGTACTCATAGTGGAATGTCTTTTAAAAAATTGGGCTTCAAGAAAAGTTCTTTTCAGAACTAATACTTGAAATAATTTCTTACCTCATGTTAAAATTTGCCTAAAGCGTTTTTAGGAGAAAAGCAAACTTTTATCAGATAATTTTAACACCCATTTTCTTAAAAAAAATTGCAAATAAAGATAACAGAAATCATTACTACCTTTGATAGATTAATTATGCTGAAAAAAATTTCCTGCCGACCAAAGCTGGCAGACCACTGACATAAAGAGTAAATTCCCAAGTCATAAGTGATTTTGCTTGCCACAACAAGAAAAATTCCTACAGGTACCCATAATGTGGTACACAAATACAGGTGGTACCTTGCAATTTGACCACCCCACAATTCAACGGTCAAATTTGCAGGGAGGTTGACTTGTAATTCAACCCTTGCCCCGCCTTTCAATCTGTTTCTTCCATTTTGTTTTTGTACTTATATTCTGAATTTAATGGAGTGTCTCGCAATTTAACTGATTTTAAATTTGACTCAAGTTTGGCAACAGATAAAGGTCAAATTGCAAGGTATCACCCGTACTCTAATGTCTATAAGTGCACAATCTGGAAAATGTTTGAAAAGCCCTGCAGAATAGTGAACAATTCTGAACAAAAAAATAGTTCTCCAAAGGTTGAGCAAACAAAAGAGTAAATTGTTCTCACACAATCCAACCCCCTCCCCCCGCCATGCCCCCATCTCACCCAATTTCAAAAACGCACAAAGAAATACTGTAGTGTAAATCCACTTTTTAAAATTCCTCAGCGGTTCGCGACAAGCAGCAAAATCGCTTCTCGTCGTCCAAATTCGCGCAGCCATTCGCCTCGTCGGCATAAGGTCCGTCACTGATTCCGTCGCAGTAGAACAAGTTTTCCGGCCGCAGCATGACGCAATGCTTCACGAACCTGTCAATCGAGTCCCCACTCAGCGCGTAACATCCGCTAAGGTCCAAGTACTCCAGGCACCGAACAGCGAATTTGGCGGCTGCCAAATCGTCCAGCGTTGAAACCCGGTCGCAACCCGACAGACTCAGCTCCCGTAACCCTCCTTCATCCGTTGCTTGCAGCTTCCTGAAGGCTCTCTGTCGTGATAAGAAAAAAAAAAGGACAATGACATATCAATTGGACAGAAAAATCAGTTGAACGCAAGATGAAATTGAAATTCATTCCTAAAATACAGAACTGAAAATACTGCAGAAAGAACCCTCAGGTAACAAACTCAATTGGTCCCAGACAAAAGTTCGTTGACCAAATTCGATTTTCCCACAGAATTCAATTAGGAACATTTTAATCTGTTCTGTAAACCCAAAAGACAATTTAACATAAAATATAAAAAACTCAAGACCATCAAAAATCAATAATTTGTTGTTACATGTGCCCAGAATGTTTTTACAGTGTTACAAGGAAGTAGCACTGATGAAAACAAAGATAAAAAAGCTTAACATCCAGAGAAACACCCACTGAAGGATACATTTTAGGTGAACATGAAATTTTTTTTTTAAAATGCTGCAAGTGAAGATCAAATATACCTTTCAAAAAATTGAAGAACTAGAAAACTCAAGCACAGAAAAGCTTGTGAATAATTTAGCTGAAACAAATTTCAAGAGACAAGATTACACAGTCAGAATTGAAATGCCAAGAGGAAGGAATTTTCATATCAGCGCGTGGGTGAATTATTTGCAGTTCGATTGTACCATACATTTCTGCCCCAAAATGAAATTTCGAATTCTCAAATTTAGGATTTTTCCCCAGAAAAAAGTATGCTTTTCACATTTTAGTTCGTCAACTGAGGGATTTTTTCCTGAAGACCAAAATTTTTTTTTTTTAACAGAAGGTATTTTTAAATGAAAGTTTGATAACTGAGGGTCTACTGTAATTTACTGTGACATAAAATGTTCCTCAAAATCTCAATATTCTCAACTTCCATTTATTTTGTTGGGCATTACATTTTTGACAGGAAAATTAGAAAATAAATGTTTACAGATTTAATCCACCAGCAATTTGAATGTCTCGTGAATTACCAGAGATCAGGATAAACAATTAGTTCAGCACTACACATGTCCCAGTTTTCAAACCATTCCTTTCTAGTACCTAGACAAAACTGACCAGCTGTCAACTACCCTCACATCCCATCAGCACTCGAGGTTCAACGAAAAAAAAATTCACAAAATACAAGCGACATCTATAAATCGGAAATGGAAACAAAAACACGGAGTCGAGGACAGCTTCATGAAGAGCACCCTAAAATCCCTTGATACTCTCTTTTTCCGAGAAAATAAAAATAAATAAAATACTGCACCCACGTTTTTAAAGTTCCAGTGATGCGCAAGGAGTCTCAGCCCGTAGTCGGTCAACCCTCGACATCCAGTCAACTGGAGAACTCGTAACTTGCACAAACTGCCTCCGGGCAATTTCTCGAAACACTCGTCCCCCACGGGAGAGAAAGAAAAGTCCACTTCTTCCACATTCGGTGCAGCCGCCAGGACGGCTGCAAACAGTCCGGAATGCAAGTCCTCGCATTCCCGAAACGCCAATCTCTTCACGCCTCGTCCGACTTTCGGCAGGATCCCGTTGACGATCGTTTTCAGGGCACTTGGTTCGAATCGGGACGCGTCAATTTCGCGCCAAAATCCCTTCGAAACTGCCACTTGGGCCAAGGTCGGAGACGCCCGGGCACAGGAAAGGAGGTCCGGTTGAGGCAGAAATCCGAAGATCCTGCCCAGGGCTACCGACGGCAATTGGTCCAAAGATTCGGGTCTCTGCGGTAAAAAATAAAAAATAAATCAATTTCAGTCACATTACAGGATAAAAAAAAAATTTCTAAACCCAATACGACAAACATAAAAACTTGAAGAGAACTGAATCACCGAAGAAGATTAACAAATTTCTACACGGCGGCTGTCGATGATAAAGGCGGAATTACTTATGCAAAACCTGGATACAACCCCTAAAATAAATGCCATGTCAATTTCAAGAATTCTGAAGGAAAAGGTGGGCAATAGCAAAAAATCTGCGATATGTAATAATTTATAGCTAATTTTTCGGGCGAAGAGCAGAAAGCTGCCAGGGTAACTTCTGCAAAAATTGTCCGCAAAATATGTCAAACAGGGCTGATTTGGCTTGCTTCTTGCCTTGCGTCAAAAAATGCATCTTCTGAAGGAAAATTACTTTTCAGCCCAATCGTATTCCGTTCCAATTTTTATTCCGATAAAATTTTCTTGGCTCACTTGTCTAGTACAGTGAAGACCTCGACATACGGACAAAAATACATGAAGACAATTCAACAAATGGACTTGAAAAAAATGAACTGACCAAAAATCCTGACAATGGCTCGAGATAGGAACACTTTGCCAATATTTTCCAGGAAAATCAGAACTTCACATTTTAAAATTTCGATGTAGATTGAACAAATTGAGCCATTTACGAAAACTGAGAATACATTTCATTATAAATGTACTCTAATTTATAAAAAAAAAACGGGCCAATTTTGGGCATCTTTTTTCCAGGTTTTTTTATTCTTTCTAGAAGCTGTGCACATTATTGCAAAACTTCTTCGTGATCTTTGCTTTTTGAGTTCATTTTGATGCCAAAAGATCAGATTCTACGTGGTTTTCTTCTGCACAGTTGATTTTTGTATCTTGAAGTTGAGGGAAAAAATTTTTAATTTAATTTTCGGGGGACTAATTCATAATTTTTTGATGAATAGGAGAACAAATTAAATACGTTTGCATTGATGTTTATGGGAAAACTTGAGTCAACATCCGGACAATCTTGAAGAAATTAAGCTTTCTATGTTCACAAAAATTAAAAGTGCTTTTTATTATGAATTTACTATAATTCTTATCCAAAACAGACACATTTTTGTGCTTTATTAGTTTTTCAGAGTTTTTTCATCTTCCGAGTAAAGTAAAGGAAGACTTGTGCTTGTTCATTTTTTTGGGCTCATTTTCACGCCAAAAAGTTAAATTCTGTGTGGTTTTCTTCTTCACAGTTATTTTCTGCATCATGAATTTGAGGAATAATTTTCATCAATTTTTTGGGGACATTTTTCAAAATGTTGATTCAACAGGAGACCCAGATGATCATGTTCTCATTGAAGTCTATGGGAAAACGTGATCCAACATGCAGAAGTTTCGACATAGGGACAATTTCCAAACACCCAATTACGTCCGCATGTCGGGGTCCCACAGCATTCAAAAGTACAGTAGATTTGCTGCACCGTCAGCGAAATACTCTCAAATATTTTCACCTACATCCAGGTCATCACGTGCATTCGGCAAAAATTATTTCAGACGTTCCTCCCCGCACCAAAAAATAATTGCAGCGTAACAACCATGGAAAATGATGACGAAAACGAACGGGGAAAGTCGACCAGATACGACGTCGTTGCATTTGTTTTCGAATAGAAACGTCACCAATTTCGGGGAAAATGCCTTCATTATCCCCGACCCGGAAACAGACCGAAAAATGAATAGCGTCTAATGACACCCACTGTCCTTCGAACAACCGGAAAACGATTTGTTACCTTTTTTGGCTTGAATTTCCCTGGAAAGTCTCGCGGACTCGTCCGAAAATAAAATTCTTCGTCGGGGTGTTCAGAACAATAAAATCGAAAAATATCCACAAAGCAAATTGAAATAAAATGCATAGAATGAACGGAAATAATTATTTGCACAACAGTGATCGGATCTTTAAAATTTCACGTCGCACTCGACAATGAAGTAAGATTTTGTTTTGTTGCGCATCGCACAATTAATCGCTAAAACTAACAACGAATGAAAAGAAAGGTCACACGTTCATTCCAGTAATCATACTTTTCCAGTGAAAACGAAAAAAAATCAGAACAGATTAATTTGCACATCACATCACCTCAATGAATTCTCGACTTCGCTGATTTCTTCAAGAATATGCTCAAGAAAAATCAAAGGAAAATATATTTTCTCATGCACGTCAGTCAGAGCACGAAAAAACCTCGAGTTTAAGGAAAGGAATTTTCGTCATCAATTCGGGCAGGATTTAAAAAAAATTCATCCTGGTCCCCCCCCCCCCCAAAATTTAACTTTTTGAAATACTAAATAATGTCTGGCCCAATCTTGATGAACATATGTACAGTACTGCAGGATATTCTAAAATTTAATCAGTTTTGCAAAGATTCAGTTGATGAAATTAGAGAGCATTAGACACATGGACATGACAACATAAAACTGGTCAGGATCACAACACAAAAGAGATTTCAGTTTTCGGAGGAAATATTATTTTCTCCCTTAGTTCGCTTGCCACGAAATTATATTTTTGCGATTTATTTCAACATTTTTTGTGTGTCATATTTTGATGCTTCCCAAGTTCAAAACAGTTCGAGCGTCAGTCAAAAACGCCAGTTTTCAAATATAAACCAGTGGTTGTCGAAGTACAGAGTTCACTCACTTGCGTGAATGAAACGACATTTTGAATACAGTAGGGCCCCAACTTACAATTCGACTTAGGGACAAAAAAAAGTACTGTATTCCCCGGCATCTGGACCATGTCTAGGGATATGGACACCTTTGCCATTTTTAGGAAAATATAACTGTTTCATGTTTCAACAATTCTGATACAGTACTTCTTCAACAAATCTCCTCACATTTACATAAATTAAAAAATCTCATGAATTAATTTTAACTGGTAATCCAAAATAGGATGATTTTTCAATTCCCTTTCTAGAGCTTTTTCATCATCTGTTCACATTATGGCAAGATGCATGGTTCTTCTTTGCTTTTTGGACTCCTTTTCAGGCCAGAAGGGCAGTTTTATGTGTACTGTAATTTTCTCCAGCACGATTATTTTCTGTTCCTGGAAGTTGAATACATTTCATTTTATTTTTTTTGGAAGTTTTCCAAATTTTCTACGAACGAGAGGACCCACTGAATATATTCTCATTAAAGTTCATGGGGAAATTTGATCCGACATGCGGATGTGCTGACATAGGGATACTGTACTTGCAACAACAACGAACAAAATACCGTGACACTTGGAAAAAGCCTCGAGATAAGGACAATACAAACGTTTCTAAATGAATGAAACATTTATTACTTGAAAATTTCTAGAACAAATTGAGCTTTTTATATTCACAAAAGTAGAGAATTAATTGTATTATGAACTCATTATAATTCATCATCCAGAAGAGGTCAATTTGTGTTTATTTCTTCGGAGTTCTTTCCATAATCTGTGCACAGTAAATTGAAAGCATTGTGTTTGTTCTTTGCTTTTTGGGTTCATTATCACGCCTAAATTTCAGATTGTGTGCTTTCTTGGGCATATTTATTTTCTGCACCTAAAAGTTGAGAAAAATTATATTATTTTCATTTTCAATAAAAAAATTTAATCAACAAAAGAACCAATTGAATATACTGTACAGGTGGACTTTCTCAATAAAAAAAATTTGTCTACAACAATTTTCCCTCCACAATATGACAAATTCACTTGTGGTCTCAAAGGGCTTTCTCCCCATGCTACAGGGCTTCTCTGCAAATAAATTATCTCTAAAACGATTTTTTTCTGGTCCCTTACATTGAGTTGTAGGGAGACCTTTATTCTCATTCAGGTCCAACAGAAAACGTGATTCAACACTCAAAAATCCCAACATCTGGAAAAACACGTGAGACCCCCAGATGCAGACATAATTGGTGCATCAAGAGTGTCCCTAAGTTGAATTGTTCATAAGTTGAGTCCTGTTTTCCCATAGAATTACATTATATAATTTTTAATTGGTGTTTTATGAAAAAAATATTCTTCAGAATTCCATGGAAAAAATTGTTTGCCACTTGAATTTGATTCAGTGAATATATTTTCAACCCAATGAGAACATTTGGAGCATTGAATAGTGTATCTCTGTACTATTGAAATGTTGGCATCTACAAAAATAAAATTCAAATCACAAAGAGAGAATGAAGTCCCTATATGCTATAGGTAATTTTTAAAATTAGCTGAATGAATGGGAAAATTATAGGAGAAATAAAAAATAATTTTTCTTGCACAAACCTTAGGGTGGGAAATATCTGTTTCTTGCAATCAAGCCAAATAAAAGTCTATTTTTGTGAAATTTTTTGTTAATTTCATCATGCAATGTCCTCAAGTCAAGTCAGCATCCATATGTTGGGCCTTTTTTATTGAAAAATAAATGTCCCTATGTCGAATTGTCCTCATGTGCGGGTCTCACTGTAGTTCCAATTCCCTCCCCCCCCTCTATATTTTTCTTTTCGAGTTTCTCCGGTACACCCTGTATATTTGTTCGTTCGCAAAAATGCATCAATTATCTCGCCAGACCCCGGGAAAAGGAAGCCAGGCGGGAAGGAGAGAGAAAAAAAGGGGGGCAGGCGTCGACAGCCGACTTTTCGCTTAAATTCCCACCCTTTGTTACGCCTGGGCCCGGAGTTCCCGACTCGACACCGCGGCTGTCGGCGCGTCAACCGTTTCTTCTTTTCCTCCTCGTGTCCCACAGTGGTTGAAAAAAAAGAGAAACAAGTTGTGGTTTTTAAATCTCAATTTTTCATAGCCCCGAAATACGGTTACTGGACACAAGGCTTCCCCCCCCCCCTCCCCCCATAAAGTCGCGACTCGGAAAATACAGTACGCTGAAAACACGAACATTTCGACTCGCCGAGAAAACGTCGAAGATGCTCTTTTCTTTCTCGAGTGTAAAAAGGATCGCGTGTAAGATTCCTTCAGCTGAAAGCTCAGCATTTCTCAATTTTCTCGACACGCAAAAAGAACCCACCGCAGAATTTTAACTTTTTCGTTCTTGGATAAATTTCACACAAATAAATCGAAGCGTTCGGCAACGATCTCGCACACTTTAACGCGACGGGAAAGTATATACAGTATTGCATATTTAGTATACATGTACTGTACATCAGTGTTACCAAACCAGTTACCGAATCGGCATTTTTTTTTGCTGGTCCGCGGAAAATATTCAGCATGATAACTTCATCAAAAGTCGGGATTAAATCTGTTCTCTTTAACTAAAATTTCGTGAGAAAAATGGCAGTTGAATTATCTGATGAAAACAAAAGTTGACTTTTCTCCTAATAATACTTCAGACAAATTTCCACCCGCGGAAATAAATTACTTTAATTTTTCAATCTGAGAAACCTTCCTGCAAGCTCACCTTTCAAATTGCTTGATAACATTCCAAACTGAATTTTTCTTGCAACTACCTGCTTAATAAAATTCAAGGAAAACTTTGGCAGGTCTGCAAAAATTTTATGAAACTTTGCCAGTCTGCAGAAATTTTTTTTGGAGTTTGCTGGCCAGCAAAAATTTTTGCGAAAATTTGCTTGTCCGCGGGCACAAAAAGGTTGGGGAACACTGCTGTATATTGTGCTGACTGAGTACCCTTTTTATAAACGAAGTGCGGCCCCGAGATGCGGACGCATTAGTTACTTGAACCTTGTCCCTATGTCAAAACTTCTGCATGTTGGATCACGTTTTCTTATAAACTTTAATGAGAACAGATTCATCAGGGTTCCCTGTTGAGTCAACATTTTGAAAAATGTCCGATAAAATATGGAATACAAATTATTCCTCAACTTCATGATACAGAAAATAACTGCGAAGAAGAAAACCACACAGAATTCAACTTTTTGGCATGAAAATGAGAAAAAATAAAGCAGAACGTCTTCCTTTACTATACACAGAAGATGGAAAAACTCTGAAAAACTAAGCACGAAAATGTGTCTGTTTTGGATAAGAATTATTGTAAATTCATAATAAAATGTACTCTTAATTTTTTTTTAACAAAAAAGCTCAATTTGTTCATGAAAATTCGAAATTTCAAAAATAAAGATTTCCCTTCTCAAATGAATGAAACACGAATGGAACAATTGCCAAACACTCGAATACAAATTTGAATTACAGTATATACTTTGATTTAGTTTACAGCATTGGACAAATCTGAAGACTGGAAAGGTCAACGTTCAGTGGCTTTACAAAAATAAGACTCGAACATTTAAATTTTCACATTTCCACTCATCATCGAGGAAGCAATGGTACATGGGGTGGTCAAAAGCGCGGTGAATACCCTGAAATGAAAGTTACTAGAGCAACGAATTTCAGTCATCATCATCCATATCTTTCAGGGATCAATAATCAATTGATTAGGTCATCAGCCTTCGTTCATTTTTGAAATGGAGGATCTCTGATTGAAAATCGGGCTTGGCAAAACCTTGCTGGTCAATCGACATTCTAGGGAAACCATCACAATCAGGCTTTAAACAAGACGTTCGATTAGATCAGACAAGTTCCAAAAATTGAAAAATGGGAAGCATATGTTTCAGTGCAATGGAAGGTATTTTTTTTTGGCAAAATTTCGAATAACCGGAATTTATGCAACATGCCGAAGCAAAAAGACGGAATCTCTTTACAACGAATGAATGCTTAAAACGGATTTCTAAAATCTATTTTC